GGGCCCACCAATCAATAAATGCTTTAAAGCACTCAATTGGAATTAAGTCCTCGCCGGGAGATTTACCACTGGGTGTGGATTCGATCAATGACCTCACCTCACGCTCTGTTACCTCTGGCCAATGTGGTAGTGCGGAAAGAGAGGGATTTACCTGGATATTCTCACAATCACAACTAAAAACCTTGGCGAAATGGGCAAACCAGGTCTCAGCTTGGATATTAGAACCCCTCATCATTGATTTACCATTAAAGCCTGCTGAAATTAGGCGCCAGAAGCTACCTTCATTCCTACCCCTAACCGCCTCTTGGAGCTCCGCCCATAGGCGGGCAGTACATGCTATCTTCTTTTCCTTTAAAAGATCTTTATATTGTCTTCTAGCTGTACCTACTAACCTAAAGGATTCCAAGTCCCTAACTCTTCTAGCTAACCTGATGCATTTCAACAAATATCTCTTGGATTGTGCACACTCTCTATCAAACCACTTGACTCTCCGCTCAGAAGAGGTGTTATCGGAACTCTCTTTCAAAAATAGAGGTTTTAACTGTTCCACAATACTCTCATAAGACAGAATCACGTCAACCTCTTCCCTGGTTTGGTCAGTGCAATCCGAAACCACTCCTACACTAGGGAGTGCCTCCGCAGTTGATTCCTGGACATTTGTAGTCCATTTAGGTCTCCTATGTGATGGGGCATTCCCATTAAAATCGTCCGAGACCCTAGTTATTTCCTTCCGGCCGCATACAATTACGAACAGTGGCTTATGGTCACTGTGTATGGACTCAATCGCCTCAAAAGAAAGGATTTGTTCTAACAAGTCCCCCGAGACGGCCACAAAGTCAATGGTACTTCTCCGCAAGCCGGAGAAATCGGTAAAAGTCCCCTTTGAAGAGTCCCACCTTGTGCCATTCAGCACTAATAAATTAAACATTGCAAGAGTCTCCAGAAATCTCCTACCAGCATTATTAATAACCGGATCCTGGAGGGTACGCCCACCAGCTAAGATGTTCCCATATGGACACCCCCCATCCTCCTGATCCATAATTGAGGACCCGATCCTGGCGTTAAAATCGCCCCCCACAATTAGATGAGTGTTTGGGTATTGGGCCACTAACCATTCCATAAGGGCCACCAGTTTCTCCCAACACAGTTCATTACTAATTCCGTTTATACCATTGGGGGGCAGATATACATTTAAACACAAAAGACTCCCCCACGGGGGGCCTCTAAACAAGAGAGGTAGCACAAAGTCCTCACAATCATGAGGGATCAACTCCACCTCCAACTGAAGAGAGTTCTTGACCGCTGTAACCAAGCCACCACAGCTTCTACCTTTGTTATGGATCTTGATGGCGGGAATGCTGTAAACCTTGAAACCTTCCATGTTAGGGGGAGCTAAAGCCGATGCCCAGGTCTCTTGGAGCATCAGCATATAGATTCCTAATAAACACCAGCAATCTGCCAGGCATACTCATGTTAAAAAGTTTTCTCCAAAGTCTAATGAGAGAGAGAGAGAGAGTTGAATGCACTACAGAGATCAATAAACGAAGAGTAAAGTACACCGCCTGCGCTTTTCCTTTCAATAAGCCAGGGTTGTTGTTTTTACCTCTTGAATTCCTTGTGAATTTGCATCTGGGCGCTTCCATGCAGACACAGCAAGAGCCCATAATACTAAGAGACCATAAACCAGGATCAGCATCCCCAGGATGTTAGCAAACCAGGCTTCTGAAGGGAGCTTCGAATAAAGTGTTGTTGAATTTTTTCTAAGGGAAGAGACAAGGATCAAATTCATTTCATGAGAAACCAATAGCAGCTTACACACTTCTTCCCAGAGACCCCTAAAGGAGGACACAGCTGGATAATACCAACAAAATATCTCTAGTCACAACCTTTAACACAAGGCTTTGCCTATCAGCCCTCAAGAGCATCCTAGACACCCGTACTGACACAATACACTCACCTTTAACATCTGACTCCTTATTTTGTGGACTGCCATTGTTTCACACATGCCAGCTCCCTGTCTCGGTTGCTACCAAAGCTACATATACCGATGGCAGCATGTTATGAATCAAGTGTCATCCCTGTAGCTAACCTCCTCCTCTGATACCCAAGAGTATCAGCCCAACAAAACAAGCAACAAAACCACACAGAGGTCCACAAATAAAACATGAAAGAAAATAAATTCTGATGCATTTTGAGCCAGAAATGCTTCTCTTCATGGGATGCAATGTGATGTTCTTTCTTGGATCTTTTTGAGAAACTGAGATGGAAGAAATGTCTCCTAATAGGTTAAAAAAAAGGGAGCATTTCTGGATCAAAATGAATCTTGATCATTCTCTTTCATTAATCAGTTTTTTATCTTGGTGGTTTGCCACTTGTGGTTTCATTGGTGCAGTCTTACTGCTGTACAATTATCTTTAGAGACTTTGCCTATTTGTATTTCTGAAGGTTATTTATTGCTTTCAGAATTCACAACAGCTGATACCTGTCTGGACCAGCACCCTTTGTTCGGCCTTTCTAGGCTGAAACTAGCAAGCCGTTTTTTTATTCCAGTGTCTCATTCACCACCCATTATTTCAGACCCAAATGATCTGCAAACCCTTTCCTCCCTTGTTCCTTTTAGTAGCTGCTGCTGCCTTCTCCCCCAGTACTCACAGTCTGAAGAACAGCTTCTCATTGATGCCAGAGAGACAGGCTGCCATAACTAAAGAAAGGATGGCAGAGCCAAAGAAGACATGGATGGGCTTGTAGAGGGCCCGCAGCCAGATGGGGGCCCAAGGCAGCAGGAAAGAAGCAAACCCCATTAGCCACTAGATTAGAAAAATAAGAATTAGGAACTTTTATCACGAAACAATTACAGAACCAAACATGGTATCTATATATTGGCACAGTGCTTCTTTAAAAACAAATTATACATCTAATTGTTCTACAGACAAGGTTATTTTAATACTTCACATTTATAAGCTACTTGGTAGCCCAAGATTCTCAGGACAATTAGACACCAGATTTTAGAGAAACTGCAAGCAGATGACCAATTTAGTTTTCCTGGTTGGCACAATGCATCGGATGCCAGGACTTTGGCAGAGAACACAACATGCTGAGTGGGCAGGGGGGTTAACTTACAGAAGCTAAAAAAAATGACAACCAAGAGGAAACATGCAGCTTTGCAAAGGGGTGTGTGAAAAAATATGACTAGTACTCATTGTCTCAAAATATAAGGATCTGGATGAGAGGTAAACCAACGTAATTGATAGGCAACAGATCTAAGGCAAACCAAAGTATCTCATCATACAATGCATAGCTAACCAGTGGCTACAAGACACGGTAGAAGCCTTTGGCATAAAAAGGTTAGGTTTTAAAAAAAGAGGACAACCTGAATGCCACATGTTGAAAGAGCTTATTTTGGGCCACCAGACTCCAAGTACAAACAGGTGATTGATATCACCAGCTTTCCTTGCTCCTGAGCTTTGCCAGAGAAAGAGCTGAGCTAGCTGGACCATGGGGCTAACCTCCTCAACTATTCATGGATTTTTCCCCTCACCTGGCAGGAGAAGAGCAGCACAGCAGTTAGCCCCACCCAGCTGTGCAGTGAGTACATGTTGGGGATCTTCTTATTGTTGTGAAACTCAAAGACAGCAACCAGCCCCACTACGACAAGGATAAATGCTGCCAAAGTCAATGCCGCATGGAGCAGCTTCCATGGAAGCTTGGGACCCTCCCAGGAAAGGGGCACACGATACACCAGTGCCGCTGCAGAGAGAGGGAAGGAGTTGTCAAAACCAAGATTGCTGAGACACCCTGCCCACCCAGCCACTAAGGCATTTCCTTCACGTTCCAATGCAAAAGCAAATATGAGGCTGGATTTGGAACTTCCTGTCCCTTACCTGAGCCGTACAAGACCAACATGCCTGTCACCATGAGAACCGGGTGCCAGTTGAACATTTCAGAAGAACCATCCCAGGCAAAGCCGCCAAGCCAGTGTTGGCCCCAGAACCCCGTCAGCCCCACACAAAGGACCCCCAGGATTCCAAGGAGGATGGAAAACGGCAGGAACTGGATACCAGGCATCTCACACCTCGTGGGGAGGACACCTAAGAAAAATAAGACACCAGTTAGGTTTGTGACGTTCGTCACATTAGGTTTGTGGCATTCGTCAGATACCTCCCGCAAGGCCCTGCCTGGTCTTCCGGGCCAGTTCTTCACTCTCCCTGGAGCACTGCTTTGCCTTCTACACACTACCACGAGCTGTCTAGAACACCTACTTTGAACTGACGGTTTTATAACTGAAGGAGTCCCAGCAGCTGGTTTAGGGAAGTGGCTTTCAAGTGCACAACTAAACCAGTAGAAGACGCACACGTGCGAAGACTCCCCGGAGGATAGCTCTAGGGCCTCCCTGGGCAGGCTCAAGGACATCACAGTCCAGCTGGAATGTTGTACTTTCAAAAGCCACAATAAACAGCTACCAGCCAGCAGAAGACCATATGAGGAAAGCGCAACTTGCTTGGGTATGTCCTGCTGAGACTAGGTAGGGCTCCCACAGTGGCACCTCCTTTCCACTAGACAAGAGAGGCTCAATCAGTTGGCTTAGGTCAAGAACAGGTTTTCCTGTCACTGGTATGGTTTCCATCTCTCCCAGCGGCAGCTTGTACAAAAAAGCCATAGAATCGTTAGCCAAATCCTCTATGTAGTACCCATCTTTAAAAAAACAAGAACAAAATTTAACTCCCAGGACTTATCTACACAAAAGCACCTTTAGCTCTGCAACAGTTCATCGAGAACCAAAACCCACAATTGATCAGACAGGAAGAAACCAGTTAAAATGAATCTGGTGAGCCAAAACTCTATGTGCCAGTAGGCTCCACAGCCACACAGTTTCCAGGCTCCCAAGGCAAACATTTGTGTCACTGACACACCGGCCTTCACACAAAGAACAGCTGGATGGAAGAGCCAACCCAAAATAAAGGTCATTGTAACCCAATGGAGGGGAAAGGACAGCTGCCCGCAAGGGTTTTGAAATGTCTATACAAACTATTCTCACAGTTACAGACCACAATTTTCTCTGAACGCCCAACAGTACTGCACAGAGGTCGCACCTGCAGCTTCTACTTCCTATAGCAGGGCAACTGTCATGAGACGCCCCCAACTTCTGCTTTCATCCCAGAGTTTAGGAGGCCGGCACAGAGAGAGCGAGACCAGAATGACAGAAGCATCACTCTCCAGAAAGCAGAAGTCAGTGAAAGTATGGACAGAACAATGTTGTTTTATGCTAAGCCCCCTTTCTAAAGGTGACAAGTTCCTCACAGTTGTCCATTAGACTGAACTGGAGACCCTGCAGAATTTTCTCCAGCTCATGAGGATGGTGCCGAAAGTTTAAGATGTAGCACCAGTATATTCCCATAACGGGAAAGCTATTCTACAATTTACACCAAGAAGAGAACTTGCTTATGCAAATCGTTTAACTAGAGTGTAAGTCACTTCTTAGCAGTTGTATCCTGTGTGATATTTGTGGGCAGGTAGTCCACAATAGGGGAGCTGCGGTGGCTGAAGTGGTTAAGACGCTGAACTGCAGGCTGTGGAAGGTCGGTAGTTCAGCAGTTTGAGACCCGAGTGTGCCGCATGACGGAGTGAGCTCCCGTCTCTAGTTCCAGCTCCAACCTAGACGTTCGAAAGCAAGAAATTGCAAGTAGATAAATAGGTACCGCTTCGGTGGGAAGGGAACAGCGTTCCGTGCGCCTTGGTGTTTAGTCATGCTGGCCACATGACCACGGAAATGTCTCCGAACAGCGCTGGCTCTTCAGCTTTGAAACGCAGATGAGCACTGCAACCCTAGAGTCGGATTCGACTGGCTTTCGAGCAAGGGAACCTTTACCTTTTTTCCTAGTCCACAATTACATGTCAGGCTATGCTGCAGTCAGATGACTTTGGCTTATTTGTCAAGTTTTTCTACAAATATGGGGACTCACAAGCAGTGTTCCCTCTAAGCTGAGTTGGTGTGAGCTAGCTCACAGTTTTTTAGCCTCCGGCTCACACATTTTTGTCTTAGCTCAGGAAGGATGGCTCCAAAGCAAACTAATATATGCAGTAGCCAAATTGCTTGCTCACAACTTTAATGCCAGTAGCTCACAAAGTAGAATTTTTGCTCATAGGACTCCACAGCTTAGAGGGAGCATTGCTCACAAGCCATAAGTGACTGCATGGGACTAGTTACAGTGTTCCCTCTAAGCTGAGTTCATGTGAGCTAGCTCACAGTTTTTTAGCCTCCGGCTCACACATTTTTGTCTTAGCTCGGGAAGGATGGCTCCAGAGCAAACTAATTTATGCACTAGCCAAATTGCTCACTCACAACTTTAACGCCAGTAGCTCACAAAGTAAAATCAACTGACTAGGTTACCCAAGACCCCCCAAATCCTAGAACTGGCACTGAACTTTGAAGCCAATCTAAGGAAGCTGTTTGCAAGGGTTAGCTGGCAGATGGTATGACGGCACTCTCCATCCCTTGTGATACGTTACTCTTTCCTCCCTTCACTTTACAAGTTCTAACAGCATAACTTTTCCCCACTTCCAAAGAGATTGTTTCATGCTCTGCTAAAGGCTTGTTGCAGCCTGTTGTTCTGTCACATGCAAGAATTCAAGGGCCTGGCAGGAGGACGACTGGGACTGCACTCTGGGCCAAGGGGCTATAGAGCCCAGGCGACAGAGTTCACCCCTACTGGGCTTAGTGCTCCACGCAGACTTTTGGCGTGTGTGTGTGTGTGTCTTTTTCTAACACAGAAGTCCCCAGAAAGCACACAAAGTACCTTTAAGGCAAAAGCTGTCCATTGTCAAAGGTGTTCAGTCAGGAATTACTGATTCCAGATATACATGCTAATTTAACCTAATTTATCTTATTAAGGAAACCAAAGGTGTGTGTGGGGGAACTGTAATAAAATCCTGTGAACTTTTATGAACTACCATGCAGAACTGGACTCAGGTTCTCTGGAGAACCGGAGAAGTGGCATGCTCTTCCTTTCTGCAAGCCCAAAGTCATTCTTGTATTACAAGTATTGCCTGTGAATTTCACTGCCACCAGCTTTCAGGGGAGCAATGCGGCAATGCCAACCGGGACTAGAAAACTCAACCATGCAGGAACTGCAAATATAAAAAATGAAAAGTGCCGACATTTTAGAGATTTTAACTGCAGCCTAGGCTTTCAGAGGCCACACAGGTAATGCACAAGTTATAGAATAAGCCTTTTCTTTCTTTTTTTAAACCAAGCAGAGCTCACCAGGCCGCGAGAATCAAAGCCAGATAACCATCAGAGTTTCAAAGCAGAAAGGAAACTCCTCCACAACATATAAATTCTCAGACACATGAACAGGGCTGACACTGGCAACAAGGAAATATTTCATTTTAGTTAAGTGAGAGGGCAGTGATAGAACTAAAATGCTGAAATCGAGAGTGAAATGGAGAGAGGGAATATCCTACAATCGTCTACTGCAAATTATTGTTTAGTGGTTGCTTATTACGTTTTTTATCCCACCCTTCCTCCAGAGAGATTATGGCTCCAAAATTAGCTACTTTTGTGTTTGTTTGTTTTTAAGAAATCATGGTGGCGTACATGCTCACACCATGCCATCTCATCTTCACAACAACCCTGTGAGGTAGGCTACGCAGAGTCACAGAAAGAACATGACGACTACAAAGAGAAAGAAACACTATAACTTTTATCCTTTCCTAATACCGATCCGCATAAGCATAACTACAAACAGGCAACCATAGAACTAAGGGAAAACATGCGACTTCTCACACCTCGCTTCCGCCTTGCACGCAGGGAATGCCGGGAAAAGTAGTTCCAGAGCGCTGACGACCCTTGAGGATAGCTCATCACACAAAGCCACAGGGACCCCTCTCTTCGCAGTTTTATAATCGTCCAATCTACATATCCGGTATGGATGACGATGGATTTCTGGGAAATGTAGTTTCACTGTGAAAGGTGAGTATAGAACTAAGGAGGCGGCGATGAAATTCTCTTTCTATAGCAAAATGAAATCTTCGTCGACCGCTGCAGGACACATTGAGCGAGGGAAGCTTTTCCAATCATGTAGATACAATAAAGGAGCTGCGGTGGCTCAAGGGGTTAAGACGCCGAGCTGCAGGCTGTGGAAGGTCGGCCGTTCAGCAGTTCGAGACCCGAGTGTGCCGCGTGACAGACGGAGTGAGCTCCCGTCTCTAGTTCCAGCTCCTGCCAACCGAGCCGTTCGAAAGCAAGACATTGCAAGGAGATATAAACAGGGACCGCCGCGGTGGGAACATTAGCCGCGTTCCGTGGGCGGGGGGGGGGGTTCTAGTCACGCCGGCCACGTGACCACGGAAACCGTCTTCGGACAGCGCCGGCTCTTCGGCTTGGAAACGGAGATGAGCCCCGCAACCCTGGAGTCGGGATTCGACTGGCTCTCGAGATACAATAATGCAAAACATGTCGCGATCTTGGCTGAACTTCTGCTTGTCGGAGCCAGGCGGCTGATCAAGGGGGGGGGGGGGGGGAAGCTTGGCTATTTACAGCCCAATGCCCGTCATCTCTCAGCGTTGCACGTTACTACGGTGGACTCTTAGCCGCTTGACCCTACTTGGCGAGAGGTCACCGGCCTGAGGAGACTCGTTCTGCAGGAGACCCCCCCCCCCGGTTCCTGAGGAGGAGCCGCCGCTGCTGCGCTCGTTATAGGGGGGGGAGGGGGGGTTATGCACAGGTATCCAGAAGCGCATGACGCGCCCGCGACGTCTCTTCCTAACCCTCACAAGGCTTAAGGGACCCGTGCAGGAGGGGGGCGCCAGACTCTAAACGAGGAGACATGGAAAAAAAATGGGAAACAAAAGAATAACACGCCTAGCGCAATATTAATAGATCTACACAAATTTAAAATACTAACCAGATGGTACATGACGCCTCAGAGACTATCCCATATAACATCTAAACACACGCCATATTGCTGGAAGGGATGCAAAACAATAGGAAACTTTGCACATTGCTTCTGGGAATGTGAAAAAATCAGTTCATTTTGGAATGAAGTCCTGCAACATATCCAGAACATCTTAGGTATTCTTATCCCAAAAACGCCAGAAAACTTATTTCTTAACCTCTGGCCAAAAGAAATAGCACAACACCATAATAGAGAAATGCTTGACACAATGTTATATGCAGCTAGACTATCTATTGCCTCTTGCTGGAAAGATGTTTCCCCGCCTGACATTCAAACCTGGTACAAAAAGTTGTGGAATCAGTTCATCATGGAAAGCATCACAGCTAAAGTTAACAGGAATAAAGGGAACATTGCACATTTTGGGTTCGAAGTTAAATGGTTTCCTATTCTAGAAGCCTTAACAGAAGAAAAATTCATTTCAGCATCCTGGAATAACTATATTAAATGGATATAATGACTTATATATGGTTCAAACGAATATTGTTTATTGAAACTACATAGATATAGCAAAATACTGATATCCTCACAGTAAATTGTTGATGGTTTATAAGTTCACTTTGTTTTTCACATTGTTAGATATGCTATGGAATGCCTATTGATAGTTTAGAGGGCAGAAGGCACTTTATTGAGTTGGTAACCGCGAACAGAACAGGCTTTAATCAGAATACATTGTAAAAAACAAGGGATTTTGTTCCAAAGTTTATTGAAGTATAAATGCTGACATTTTTTTATTCATATTGTACTGGTTAAGATGTTTAACTGTCCTTTAGTTCATTGTGGACTTGGCTAAGGTTATAAAAATGTGGGTGTTGTGTTTTCTTGATACTATTGTATTATACCAATAAAATGTTATTGGGAAAAGAAAAAAAAAGAAGGGAGGCGCGAGGCGGGGACCCCCTCCTCCCCCCCTCACTCGCCGGGCCAGCCCCGTCTCGGTCTCCATGGAGACGGCGCCATAGAGACGGGAGGACAGCGCGGCCGAGCGGCCGCGCTGTCC